TATTCTTGATTGGTTAGCCGGAAGCTGTACCGCGGTGCGAGTATTCGTTGCACGATCACCACACTGCCCCACGAAGAAGCGGAAGAAATCAGGCACCTCAATTCCGAATTAGCACAACAAGCGGGTGTAGGAATAAACCTCAAGAGTGGAAAAGAAGATGACTGCATTTTTGTGTTACTTTACATGAGTGTATCACGATTGCTCTACCGCAGATATAAGGCGTTTCGTCTGAACTTTCAATTCAGATGCACAGATACTTCACCACGCTGAGTTGAGACAGAAATGTGACCGAGGTCAAACAGACCCATACACTAAATTATCAGTCAATTCAGAGTACTGCGTGCCTGGGCATGTGAGCATTTGCCACCCCCATTNGATCAAAACGCAAACTCTCCTAGAAACTTTACGAGAAACTATGTCCACCAGATAATGTTCATTTCACTAGCAGTGACTGTCTTGGCTCTGTTCTTCCGTATATATATATATATATACCACCGGCTTGTAGACAAGCATGGTGCCAACGCAACAACAATAATAACAATAACAATAAAACGGGATAGGTGGACTGGGGTACAGAGCAGAGTGAAAAGGGGGTGAAACAGTTAAACACAAGGAAATGGAAGATAACTGGGATAACAAAATTGTTTTGTTTCACCGTACACCTGTTCTGCCGAGGAAGCATCAAACACTACCGAAAAGCCTAGTCATCAGATCAACAAAAGCTGTAGTGGTTTTTACATCATGCCCAGCAAGTTGAAGTAAACTTGCTGCTACGGCAAGTGACAACAAATGGTTCATTTTTGACGGTATCAGTGTACCACCATCTTGCGCTCGTCTGTCACAATTACCCTCCTTTCTGCCAGTTGATTTTGACAAGATATAGAAATAACTTCTGGGAACAGTGAGCAAATAGGGAATGACGGAAACTTTGTCCATAATGAACTAAAATGATAAGTCCAGCAGTTCATTCAAGGCGGTGTACTACGTTATTGCACCCGGAGAAGCACTTCACGGATCAGTCCTTCGCTATTCATTTGTGTTCCGTTGAATACTATATGCATACCATGTGCCCGCATATTCCATATGCGAGTTCAACCTCACTGATCTCCACTCAAGGAGGGTACATGATCAAACATTGTCCAAACGAAGAAACCAGCTTGTAAAGTTACCCCTTCATTCCGCATTTTCATTAGTCGGCTGATGACCGATCGCCTAACGACTATTACTTGCGCACAAACAAGAACGATAATGCCACCTCATTCTGAAATGGCGTTTCGTGTCCTTATTCTCGATTGGTTCGAGGCTGTTGTGACTCAGCTTCGTCACCACTGTTTTGCGTCATGTTCTTGTTTTACTGAAAGTTGACGCACTTTGCTTTGCCACACTTCCACCTTGGTCGTTTAACGCCACTCTATTTGGGGCTCAAATTCAGTGTGATCTGGTCTCCCATCTTGCCTCTTGGTTTTCTTATGACATGGCTGTTGAGATCATGTTTTCGTGTCGAGCAATTGGTGGTAAGCAACCGAAATTAGCAACCAGGGTGTGCACGTGGATGTAGCTGGTGAACCTTACATAGTTGGATTCCCAGCCAGCGACCAAACCCGGATATTCTGTGTTATTGGTGATTTTACCGTTGCGGTAAACGTGAAAAAAAATTGAGCCAAGTCGAAGACCAGGCCAGCCTGCGCTGGGATTCAGTTCTCAGTTGGCTGGTAATGCTTCTCGTAACAAGAAGGGGAGACAAAACAGTGGTGCCTAAGCAGTAAATACAAGGAGGCTTGAGATTGAGTCAAACAGAGCGTGCTTATTTGGTGCAGACAGACGGTAGCTAGCTGCATAACTCACTGCACACGTATCGCTGTTCCACGGGACACATCACTGCAACCGGCTCATATGGTGAACATGAAACCAAGGTGATCACAAATGCATTAATATCAACTACCCATACCCCGAAAAATAGGATAAAAATTTCCATTTAGCAAATTTAGACCATAATGGGTCAAGTAAAAGGAGCCAGTACATACTTAATAAAACAATAATCATAAATCACTATTCCAGAAACAGCCCAGCCTTTCTGAGAGACCATGATCCCCATCAGGGTAACAATTGTTCGCATAATAAGACCGAATTTCCTCCAGACAAACCATTATGTTAGTCGATTCACATGAACCGTAAGGTACTTTTTAATTTATGAAGGCAACAGACATCCAGCCCATGTTTAGTTTGAGCAAAGCTCCGTACTGGGTGGACTGGACAACGGATTTTACGCTATAACTGTTTATCTATCATATCCTAAACTAATACGGGATCGGTAAAGTCAAACTTGTATAATGTTTTATTGTGAAGGTCGGCAAGGCCTCTTAGTGACGACTGAGTTATACGTGAAACGCACATTGAGATCACAATTTGTAATAGATTTTGAAAACAAAAGAGCAAGAGAATAGCTGTTTGACTTTTCTGGTGTTCTTGGTATGACTATGGGCACTTCTGTCACAATATTGTAAATAGTCATTTAATACCAGTCACTTCTGAGCAGTGTAGTGGGGTGCGCCATAACTGATTTTGACCGCATATTTAATTTTATTAAACAGTGATCGGTTTCCATTATCGCATTATTAGTCGACTGCTAAGCTGACTAATTCCGGGAACAAGATATTCACAAATCAGTTATGCTAATAAGCCAAATATATTTAACTCTATCGTGTCACCTGATGGAAACCAATGCACAGGAACCAATAACAACTTAATGCCATGATTCCGAAAGCACTAAGTTTCCTTTTACGAACAGTTGGAAACACTTTGACGAAATGAGACAACCATCAGGACATGCTTTTGAGTATAAAGTGCAAAATATAAAAGACGGGCACTTCAAAGCTTTTCTCGGGACACCCAGTTGCTCTTCCATAATTTGATGTGAGTTGAGACGAGCACAACTGTTACGATTACCAGAAGACCGATGCGACGTTTGTCACCAGGAGTTTAGATGCTCTCCGAATCACATGCATCTGCAACAGTGGGGCGAACGGTGCATTATCAGCACCATACTCTCATAAGACATTCAACTAAGCTTGTCTAACCATCAACCTTGCATTAAGGTGACCCGATTTTGGTCTTGTCTATTTTTAGAAGTAGGTATACTCTGGGGCAGAAAACCGGAATAAACATACAACAAAGAGAACGGTAATGCAATTCACGATGGTACTCGCAGATATGTAAAAGTGAGCAGTATCAGATAGTCAATGACTTCGGAACATTGTTCAGCTCGATTTCGGATTTTACGACCACTAACTATGCACTTTCGTGTGTCGGTTTTGGCTGCTCATTTGGACAAAAGAGCAGAGGAATGAATGAAATGTTGCGAACAGAGTCAAAGAAGATAGAGAATTCACATGGACTAATGTTGCAAAGATCATGAGTAGATGCATGAGCGCCACTGTTTGCAACACCCAGATATATCATTCAGTGTATCCAACCATCGGTGGCCAGGGAGCCTAATCGGGCCTATGTGAACCAGTGTCCTGGTCAGGGTTTTCATACCTCATGTCAGATCCTAGTTTGACCGCTCTTGACCTTTTCCATCCGTTAACTGTCGTGGTAAACCATTTGGTGACATGTGTAACACATATCTCAATCAGCCTATCTATGGAGATCGACCACTTGCTCCAGTGGACGACCGCAATCACCCAAACTCTGCGCCTAACCTTAGCGGTTGCCCCACCACATTCGTACGATGCGACGGAGACAGCGGTGTTCAAACACCGGCAATGGATTTTTATTCTGTTCCCATAATGGCCAAATCTCTGTACCGTAAAGAAAGATTAGGTGAACTGCTGCAGCGTATACTCGACCATTCACAAACAGCCGGATGTTGCGACGGCATTGTGATAGTTTACTAAAACAATCGCAATACGATGAAGAACCTCTAAATTTCACTCATGATAAGCGCCAGTTTCATCGTTTAAACACTTTTGACAGACTTCAAGTAAATGTACGTCAAGACTAAATTTCTCAAATTCAATTCAAAATATTTGAAGGAATTACGAAAAACAGCCACATTAATGCCCGATAGTTCCTCAGCGTGAGTGCGTTCCGGACAGCGACCTGCTGACTCATAAAAAGAAAATGTCCACCAGAACCTACCCTCAGCGGCCTCGGCGATGGTAAGCAATGGTGCCGGTTGGATCAGATGGCGTCCCGGGCAGTGAGGTGATGATGGAACAGGCGGGAGAGGAGCAACCGGTAACGAGTTTGAATCACAAAATGATGATGCTGGACGTGAGTTATTAAGAGGCCCGGGCTTTGGTCGCGATGTGGTAAGATGTGAGGTGGCAATTTGATCCGACGACGACGGTGTTCGAGATAACACAGACGAGGACTTCGAAGAAACTTGGGGTTGGGTAAGTGCTGAATGCGTTTAGTAAATACATTGGATGGAGGAAAAGAGATTTAAAAATGCAACATGGATGGTAAGAATACAGGTTTCATATATATGGAGCAAAAACAGAGTGATGTTGAGAAATCTGGTGGGATTAATTTGAAGCCAGCTTGGTGGTGACATGTGAAAGGCAACGTCGTTAATTGTGAAGTTGATGAGGGGATAGTTTGAATAAGTACTATTGTCACATCTTGCACTGAAATATCACTACAAGCTCATTGGTGGCAGGCGGCTTTGGCGTTGCCCGGGTCACTAACATGCCCGATCTATTGAAGCCTTATGTGGTCCGCCACTCCAAGTCTCAGGATCATGGTTGCCGGTTTCCTCACAACACAAACATGACAGCACAAAATCACAAACGCTCGCGTTCTCTCGCTCGCTCTACGCACTCATCACCCTAACCAACATTCGCGGACTGAACCACAATATTGATCCTGTACACCAATTTCTCTATTCTTTTTCTCCGCTAGTCCTTTTTTGACCGAAATACAAATCTCACGTTCGTCAGTCACCACCCACCTTCAATTCCCCAACTACACTCCCCAATTCTCCTTTCTACCCAAAGCTGGTGTCTGCACCTTCATTCACCAATCAGTCGCCGCCTCCAGGATCCAAAATCTTGACCTTTCCAATCGTGAATTTCAACTGATGTAGCTGAAACTCCGACTCCCTTCATTTAATCATTGTTTCAGTGTTCTGTATCCTTTCCCCAATAGTGGCGACTCTTCCATCTTTGATTTTCTATCTTCGAAGATTGAACAATTGTTTGCAACCGACCCCAAATGCCATGTTACCTCCTTGGGGGATTTTAACGTCCACAATCAGGACTAGTTGACACATTCATCTGCTCCTTCTTCGTTGGGGCGCGAAGCGGAACACCTCACTTTGATCAACAACCTGAGCCAACTAGTTGCCCTCCCCACACGTGTCCCTGATCGAGTTGGCGATCGTGCCCACACCCTCGATTTAATTCTCATTGCGGTCCCTTCTTTGTTCTCATATATTGGTACCCTACCTCCTCTTGGCTCATCAGATCACTGTGTTGTTTCTTGTTCTATTAGGTTTTAAAATTCAGAGCCAACACCCACCTTGAGACACAATCTGGCGCTACAACTCAGCCAACTGGGACGGTTTCCGTGATTTCCTAGTTGCCTATCCCTGGAAGGACTGCTGTTTCTCTTCGGATGTTTCCAACTTCATCAACTGTGTTCTTCACGCTAGGCATCTTTTTATCCCGCACTTTTCCAAACCCAAACCCCGAGTGATTTGACGATGCATGAGACCGTGTTGATCGCCTAAAACGTTCAGACTTCCGCCGCTCGCCCAACCCCCTCTCCCACCATCGCTTCATGCAAGCTAGGAACAGATGCTTGAAGACCATTCAGAGAACCAAAGAACGCTTCGTGTGCCGTAAAGCCGAAAACTTGGTTTCGTCCGCCACTGGTAGCCGAACATTTTGGTCCCTTGCCATAGCAATTTCCAGGAGTTTTGTTCTTCCAACTTCCCCCTATCTGTAATTCGTCTGGTGATCGTGCATGTCAACCACACGAGAAAGCCGAGGTCTTTGCATCCCAGCTTTTCGCGAATTCCACGTTCCTCCTTCTTTATTTACAACCCTTTTCTACCTGATATTAGCACTAGGAAAACCCGTCAAACATTGCGCCTTATAAGCGCTAACAAACCACCCGGTCCCGACAGTATTCCACCCATCGTCCTCAAAATGTTTGCTCCTAAGCTAGCTCCTACTTTACGTCGCCTTTTCAGTCTTTCCCTCTAACTTTCTTCCTTTCCAACATCCCTGGAAACACGCCGAGATTTTTCCCATTCCCAAACGCGGCGGCTTTTATAACACCAACAATTACCAACCCATTTCACTCACATCTTTTCTTCAAAAGTATATGAAACTATTATCTCTGACCAGCTACGCACGTTCCTTGAACGCGAAGTACTACTGAGCGACCACCAGTACGGTGTTCCATAGCGTAGTTCCACCGGTGACCTGCTGGCTTGTCTCACAATCCTGGTCAGCTCCACCCAATAACCACGGAGAAACAGACTTGGTCTCCCTTGACATCTCAAAGGCTTTCGACCGAGTTTGGAACGAAGGATTACTGGCAAAACTACCCATGTTCGGATTCCCTCCGGCACTCGTGGCGTGGATATCAAGTTTCCTCAATAAGCGAACCATCTCCATCCGAGCTGATGGGATTCTATCTTAGCCCTTCCTTGTGAACGCTGGTGTTCCCCTAGGTTCAGTACTTGCGCCCACCCTCTACCTTCTATTTATCAATGATTTTTCCCAAACTGTTAACCCGATGACGCCACCCTCCACTGTTCCCTCTCCTACCGCACTGCTCACAATGCCCAAAGCAACATTGATGGTGACGGTAGTGCAGCTGATGTGTCACTGGACTCCGATCTCCTCCTGGGGCACTGCAAACCACGTTTCATTCAATAGTTCTAAAACCTCATTCCCTTCAATTTCTTTAAAACAACATTCATTCTGCCCTCCCCCCATTTATCTTTTAACTCCACCCAGCTGCGTTTCATAGAGTGTTTCCCTTGTTGGATTGTTTATAACTTCTTCTTTATGGTGGTCCCCTCCTTATAGCTAAGCTTGCTTCTCGTGCTACGCACAAGGTTGGATTTATATTTCGCGCCAGAAGTTTTTTCACCCTAGCTCATCTTCTATTGTGCAAAGCGCCCTGCTCTTGAATACTGTGGTCACGTATGGGAGGGGCTTAGTCTTCTTCCCTTTCCCTTCTTGAACATATTCAACGAAAGGCCGTCTGGCTAATCGATGATTCTTCCCTAACATCCAGTCGACAGCCCATGGTCGAGCAGTTGTTTCGTTGTCCATGTTCTACCGCTACTGGTTTGGTTTTTGATCTTCGGAACTTGCCTCGGCAGTTCCTCTTCCTGCAGGTTTTACCCGCCTATCCCGTACGCAGGCATCCAGTCATCCTTATCGGGTTTCTGTTCCCAGATGCCGTACCTTTCTGCTCCAATCTTCTTTTTCTCCAAAACTGTCAAACTGTGAAACACCCTCCCACTTGCTATCCCCTCCCAACTTACAATCTTACACTTTTTAAACGCAGAATCAATAAACTGGATCTTACCTGAATTTTCTCCTATTCTCCCTTTCACAGTATGCTATTTGTCTATGGGGTTCCACCTTTTACTGTAATTCAGACTGTGTAATAAAAAAGCCCCAATTAATAACAATAATAGGTGTAATCAATTATCAAATAAATTAGGCATTGGAACTAGTGCGTTAGCTACACAGTTCAGGATGTTTTGAGGTGAGCTGAGAAAACTGGGATTGGACAGTACTCGAGATATGATTATCGGGCACATCAGACAGCAACAGTGGTAAAATATTCTCATCATTCGGGAAACAGGGGGTTCAAGGCAGGAGTAGATCATCAGGAAAAGCCCTGACCATTTGTGATTCTTATATTAGTCGAGCGAATCAGTACAGACATCACTTTCCTACTCGAAACATTTCAAGAGGCAGCTGGCCCCAGATTTCTTTTTCGACTACCCCCCCCCCCACCCCTCCCGCTCCC